CTCATGATACTTATGTATTTTGGTTTCTAACTTCAGTTGTGCAACTTTGTCTTTGTTGATAATCACTTTTTCTAACATCACCATCAAACATAATAAAGCTGCAAATCTAAACCACATTGTGTAACAACTGAATGCTATAAAATGTAAATGGTGCAGGATTTTAACTGTTGAGTGCATTTACAATAATCCAAATAAAATTTATTCAAATATTCACACTGCATTTAACGTAAGTATTACCTCCAATCAAAGTATCAAATATAAATTTTCCAGCTGACCTTAATTCATAAAATAAAAATTCTTCCACATTCCAAATGCAGTCATAACACAAATTCAAAATGTAGATTAACAGCAAGTGATATGGAAATGTCAATTATTTTAAAGATATCAACTATTATTAATGCATATCTTATAAATGGATTTGTTACTCAATTTTCACTAATTAAGTCAGTACCCTTCAACTATAGTTTGGATATTTATATCTAAATTTATTTCAATACTATGTTGCAAAGGGGAACCTGATATACATGTGGAATTTATCAGATGAAAGACTAGTGATGCAATAATATAGAATGTAGGATAATTAAATAATAACTTGCAACTTATTTTATGATGCCTTTTTAATGCACAAGATAAAGGATGTAGGTGAGATTGCTATTTCCTCACTTATGTTTCATGCCAGATCCTGAACTGTGTATTACTATATTCATTTGAAATGGGTTAAATGAAATGTCACATCTTTGAAAGAGCTTTCAAAGTAGTCCCACTCTCCTTTTCTCTATGCATGGCTCTGTAAACTTTTCCTTTACAAGTAAATATCTTATTTCCTTTTTAAAAAATCTGTAGTCATTGTAAAGAAGTCAACCAGATGACCTCATAGAATATGAGTTCCCTGTTTGGGGCTGTTAAGCAGGTTCTATTAGGGAGCCCTGGCTGACATATAAACATGAGCATTGGAGGTTTTGTTCACTCTGAGACCTAGCTCTGAGGAAGTTGGACCAGTGTCAAGTACTATGCACATGTAAATAAAGAATGACTTGGTGACTGGATACTGGTCTTTGTGCAGTTATTTCAGTGGCAATGAGAAAAAAAATGCTCCTGAAGAAATTTGTTCACAACAGTCATCTTTGAGTTGGCGCAAGCGTTTCCGGCATCATGCCATTGTTTGGGAAGCTTGACTCATTCGATCCTGCCATTGAAGACTGGGCCCAGTATGTGCAAAGAATGCATTATTTTTGCAGGTAAAGGACATTGGGTCAGATGAAAAACAATGAATAATTCTCCTGACATCTTGTAGAACCACAGCTTTTTCAGTGATTAGGAGCCTAATGTTTCCTGAGGACCAGATACTAAAACCTTTCAAGAGTTGATGGATTTAGTTAAAGAATATTATGACACCAAGCCTCCTCTAATTCTGAAATGCTATTGATTTTACTCAGCAATTTGAGAGCCAGGGGAATATGTGTCAGGATTTTTGGTGAGGTTAAGTCAACTGGCAGAGGCACGTGACTTTGGTTTAACCCTTGATAAGATTTTGAAAGACTGTTTGGTATGTGGGATTTGTATGCAACCATGCAAAAGCACCTACCTGCTGAAGCCCAACTGGACTTCAAACAGGCACTACAACTGGCTTTCTCACTAGAAAATGAGACAGGTAGAGCATATGAGTTATAATGTATGCTGAATGGAAGTGAATGCCCTCACCAGGCTGATTGAACTTGCGGGACATCACTTGAGTGAATGCAATTGCATAGCCTCACTTAGGATGTATCCTGAACAGAGGGACTCTAGGTCAGACCACAGCAAAATCCCAAAACAAAACCAAGCATTGGTCGAATGGTTAAAATTTTCCTCAGGATCTGGGCCGGCAAGCCATTGTAGTTGCTGCCGGTATGTGGACTCAAGACAACAAAAGGGTCCCACTAGACTTTAATTGACTAAGAGAACTCATAGGCCAGTATCCAGAAGACTGCACACACCATGGAAAGCCCACCTAATCTGGCTTCAAACAGTTAAATTCCTTAGCGACATCCAAATCAAAACCAATCAAAATAAAAATCTGGTTAAATGGTCACCCAATGGTCTAATGAAGGTTGATAATGGAACTGCCGTTTCAGTGATTGCAGAACTTGTCTTCAACAATATTTGCTCTGGACTCCAACCCTTATGTTTGTGTAAGACCTCGGTTAGACTGAGAACCTGTGCTGGGGAACTTTTACAGATCAAGGGTTCAACTGCAGTTCTGGTCTCTTATGAGAAGCAGCTGGTTCAGTTACCAGTGATTGTAGTAAAAGGCTTGGCCCCAAGCTTGATGGGGCGAAATTGTTTGAGAAAGATTCACCTTGATTGGCTCAACATTTTTGATTAGAAAATAGCTGCCTGAGTGAAATTCTAATTAAATACCCAAAAGTTTTTCGGGAAGGTCTAAGGACTATTAAAGGACCCAAGGCCACCTTGCATGTTGACCAGGAAAAAATTCTATGATTCTGCAAGGCCTGCACAGTACCACTTGCCATGTGGGCAAAAGTAGAGGCAGAAATCAGGAGGCTGGAATGTGAAGGAATCCTTAAAACAATGGAGTTTGCAGGATGGGCAGCATCGGTCATACTGACTGTGAAACCTGACCTTCACCTTTATAGGGACTTTACACAAATGGTAAACCATTTTTCACAGCTGGATAAATACCCAAACCCTCGCAGAGAGGATTTATAAACTAGGCTGGTGAAGGTGGTGCGAGGTGGCTGTCCTTCACAAACATGAGCCATGTGTATCTATAATTATGGTTGGATGAGGATTCCTAAATGTCTGCTACAATTAATACCCGTAAGGATCTGTACCAATGCACGAGTCTACCATCTGGGGTATCATTAGCCTGTGCCATTTTTCAGCAAACAATGAATAACATTTCACAAAGTCTACTCCAGGTCACCATTTATCTGGATGATGAGCTAATAACAGGGAATTCTAATAAAAGCCATTTAAAGAACTTGGAAATAGTCCTCAGACATTTCTCCCAAGCAGGTGTACACCTTAGAAGGGAAAAGTGCATGTTCCAGGCAGCCCAAGTGACCTACTTGGGTTACAGAGCTGACAAAGCTGGATTACACACATTGGATGATAAAGGGAGGTTCATCAAAGGTGCTCCAGCTCTCACATGTGTACCAGAGCTTAGGTCTTTCTTGGGCTGGTGAATTATTATGGAAAGTTCGTGTATAACCTGGCCTCCATCCTGGCACTTTTGCATCAACTCTTAAAAAATAGTCACTCTTAGAAATGGCCTCATAGCCAAGATCAAGCCTGTCAGGAAGTGAAGAAGCAGCTATCGTTATCTAAGGTGTTGACACACTGTGATCTGAAGTTAAATTTCGGTGCTGATATATAATGCCTCCCCATACGGCATTGGGATAGTGTTGGCTCACAGATGGCCCAATGGAAATGAATGCTCAAGAAGGAATATTTCCCAGTCTTTGGCTGATGCACAGTGCAAATGTGCTCACATAGAGAAGGAAGGTTTGGTGGTCATCTTTGGTATGAGAAAGTTCCACCAATACCTTTATGGATGTAAATTCATAATAGTAACAGACCACAAACCCCTGTTAGGGCTACTCAAAGAGCACAATCCGTGCTGCCCATAGCTTCAGGTCAAATTCAGAGGTGGGGTCTCATTCTAAATGCACACAAGTACATGTTGGAACACTGTTCATAAGGCCAAATAGCAAAAGTAGATACTTTGAGCTGCCTCCTGCTGGCAGACACATCATTGGCAGTGCCGACGCTGGTTTCAAATTTTCAATATCAGAGTTTGGACACAAAAGATCCAGTCCTGGCAAAACTGAAACAACTAGAGGTGATAGGGAAACAAAATGGCCATTAGAGCCAGAATTGAAACCTTTCTGGACCCAGCGAGCCCAGATCATTGTTGAGGATGGCAGATTATTACTGGGAGTAAGAGCAAAAGTCACCACCAGCTACTGGCTGAACTCCACCAGGGTCACCTAGGGGTTTCCAAAATGAAGATTTTGCCAAGAAGTTTTGTTTGGTGGCCAG